GGGACATGGCAAAGTTGTAAAAGTCAAGATGCAGGGACATGGCTATATGCATACATATTAAAATTAATACTCTACATGAGACAAACATTATTTTTCATTCACATGCTATGAGACTCCTCATTACCATTTTATGTTTCTTTTATCGAGTAAATTATAAATTGAAAAACTACTCCCTTTTGAACTAGATACTCAAATGACCCTTTAAAATCATACTTATGAACTATGTGCTAAAACAAACCTGTCTTGACTCCAATGACTTGCATAATTTGAGCAGAAGCGTACGATATACATTCAAGAAGTGTATCACAAGTATTTTGAACTAAAGCATGTGTTATATAATTAAGTTTACGTCTGCAAATGAATGTATGTATTCAAAAAGTGCCCCCAGAGTGTCGGACATAGACACGGACATGGACATGGATACAGGAGCTTAGATGATGTGTCCGGGTAACCTAAATATAAACTACAGGGTAAAGCTTTTGTATATAGTTAATGCAAGATAATAGAGAATTGATAGACCAATTATTGGTAAAATTGGGGCTTCATTGCTTTGGTGAACCATAAATATCTTCATAAACTAATCTTTCTTGATTTAAAATAAAGTGGATGAGTAACGAAATATAACAAAGAAAATCAAAATTAAAGGAAAAAACATATTAAATACTATCACTCCTAACCAATACAAATTGCTTGCCAAAGAGGGACTTACAGCTTTTTCTCGAGAACCACCACCGAAGAAAGCAACAGATTCAGCATGTGTACGGAGCCTTGAATGCATAAACCTTTGTATATGAAGTCACCCACTTGTCAGTTCATAGTGCAAGTATAAATTGCAATAATTCATGAAGCAAGGAAAAGACTTCAAAATATCTAGGCATATTAGTCGAGACATTACACAAAACAAGGTCGTAGTTGTTTACCTAAATGTTCCTTCAAGTTGTTGTTCTCTGCTCGCTAAGTCACCAAATTCAGGAGCAACACTTCTCAAAAAACCTAAACCCAATAACATATAAGCATACAATATAGCAACTCCTCTTCGGCCAGTCAACAACTTCATTCTCCAAGTGAACCTGAAGAGTTCAAGCAAGATATAAGAATATGCTGGCTACAACAGCTTTTCAAGCTTGAACTTGTCACTATAAGTACTCTGCACTACAACGAAAAGGTCACTTGAGATAGTAGAACAAGAATGACTCACCAGAGGATGTCAACAGAAGGCTTTACCATCCCAGTAACTAAACTTGACAGATCAGTTGTCAACTTTTCCACATCATGTGTTATCCTCTGATCGGCATCAATATCTTTGCCTGACATATGGAACACCTGGAACAATGAAAATTCAATTTAGGTGACCACAAAACAGCTCGAGCTAGTGCAGGTAACCACTTGTTTCATTTTGAATTGTAATGTTGGGAGGGAGGGGTTAATAAATACTAAATGGGTCAATTTTTAGGTGAAAGACTGTTCATTTTGGCTTTCACCCCCTAAAATGTGTGATATGAATAAGTATAAACCTTTGGATGGGAACTAGTTCCCAAAATAAAGCATTGGGAGAACTCCATAACAAGCTACTCTTAGGACAATCCATACCTTTTATCTTAATCTAGACATCCAAAATAATCTAGAAGAGTAAGATCAAGAAGTTCATAGATTAATTTGGATATGTTGAACAAAAAGGTGCAGATCATCCATAAGATGACTCATTATGGAGCTCTTGTGATAGTTCTCAGCATGAAGTGCATGGAAATTTTCAAATGAAAATTATTTAGCGTGAACTTTTCTAAGAATCATGTAACCACCAAGGTTTTAAATATCAGATATTGGGAGAATATCGGATGGGCAAAAATCTATATTGGGAAAATATCAGGGATATGTAGTAAATATCCAAATACCATATCGGATGATATGCATATATAATATCATGTCCTAATTATAATCTAAACATATTTAATAAAATCTAAGCATATAAAAATGCAAATAATAAATGTTCAGGATCACTAACTAATTGTAAAAACTTAAATGGGAAAAAAAGCAAACCGAAACTTTGCTAAAAAAAACTTCATATGGATGGAACTTTTGCTAAAAAAATTGAATTTTTTTTTACAAAACTATATTTTTTTTGCAACAAGCTATATAAAAGGATATATCGGCCAACATATCGACTGATATATCGGCCGCAGGAATATATCGCCCAAAATTGCAAAAAAATGGCAAAGGATATTTAGACCATATCGTTTTGCAGCAAGTCTTATAAAAGGATATATTGACCGATATATCAGGCTCTATTAAGGATATTTATACAATGGTAACAACCAACGAATAGCTGACCTTTGTTCATCTTGTCAATACATTCAAATTAGGATATGATTAGAGATTAGGGTATTGAATATTTGTCAATATATTCAAATTAGGATATGATTAGAGGCATGCCATTCCAATTGTAGAAAAGAGACATCATTTGAAGCATGGGTACAATGCTTCCAAACTTCATTTTTCATTATGCATTGTTTAGATTAAGATGAAAGGTGCCAATTATCTAAAATTTCATAATATCACTTTAAGAACTACTTTTCATCCTAATGGATGATCCACGCCATTCATCTTGATCTACACCTGGTTGAATGTATATTGATAATAAAATATTTGGCTTGAAGACTTCTAGCTCATCCATCCAAATGGTTATAACTTGATAAGTTCTTAACATGGAACAAAAAGAACCTACATAATAGCTTCAAAATGCATAATCTTTTGCCTCTATGCACTACATGATATGATAAAAAAGATGAGATTTTCCATTTGGACCTATGGCAAAATAGTGGGAAAATATAAAAGCATTTAATTAAAGATCATTTTAACGCAAGGGTAAAACTTGTTGAAAATGCATGAAGTTTTGTTTCCAGATATATCATTGATAGTGAATCACATACAGTAGTATGAATTTTCAATTTGGAATGATCATTTCCAATTTAAAATGAGAGTTTTACCGAGGAAGGAAATTTTCTATAGCATCTCATGTAAAGCTATAGGGGATGATCCAAACGTGTTATCCACTCCAATGGTCGTGATCTACATTCCTTGAAGTATATTTTAACTTTTATTGTAAGTGAAGGAATTTAAAGAATCTTACACATATATCAAGCAGTAGCAAAGGTAATTGTATAGTGAGATCACTTGGTTCATGGATAATAACGTCCATTTTGTGTCACTTTCATCTATATATCTTTCAATATAAGAAGAACAAGATAGTTCCTGAGGAACACCTATTTGTATGATTTATCATAGTTCTTTGATGTGTGTGCATAGGAACATCCCGCACCAGTTGGACATCCCCTTACTCACATGCCCACCCTCACACGCACAGTCCACCAAGCCACCCATGCATGGGTATGAGCTGACAACTCATTTTTACTTGAGGTACCTAGAGATAAATTAGTGGTGATGTTGACACTTCTAGCCTGTTTGGATGGAGGATAAAGAAGGGGAGGGGAAGAGAAATTTTGGTTTACTTTTGTTTGGGAGTTCCATTTAGGGGCTGTTTGGTAGGCTGCAACTGGAGTGGTTGCAACTCCAGTTGCATGCAACTAGGTCCAATTTGACTAGTTGCATTTGTTTGTTTTACTGCAACTCACAGTTGCAGTTGCAACCACAGTTGCAAAACAACCTTTAGTTGCAACATATGACTTACGTCAAAAATGGCCGCAAGTCATAGTTGCAACTTAGTTGCAACTGACCTAAATTTATTAAAATCAAAATCATTATTTAATATTTCAAAAATAAATTCATTAAAGGTTTAAAATAATCTTTTAAATAATTCTTATTATAATAATTTCTTCAAAAACGTTTTTAAAAAAAACAACATTAATCTTTTAAAATAATTATTATTATAATAATTTCTTCAAAATAATATGTTAGTTTTAAAAGTAATATATTATCTTTAAAATAATATATTATTTTTTAAAATAATATTTTTTAAAAAATAATATATTTTTAAAATAATATATTTTTTGAATAATATATTTTTTCTAAAATAATATATTTTATGAAAAATAAAATTTCTAGGATACTATGATTTTTCTAAATAATATATTTTTTGGAATATATATTTTATTAATAATATATTTAAAATTAATATATTCTAAAAGAATAATATTTATTTAAAAGAATCTATAATTTTTTAAAATAATATTATATAATTTTTCTAAAAATTAATATATTTTAAAAATAATATATTTCTATAAAATAAATATTTTTTAAAATAATATATATATATTTAATAATATATAAGTAAATAATATATTTATTGAATAATTATGTTTGAATATATATTTTTTTAATAAGTATATATTTAAAATAATATAATTTTATTAATATATATTTAAAATAATATAAATTTTATATTGAATAATATATTTAAAATAATATAATTTTCTAAAAATAATTATTTAAAATAATATTTTTAACAATATATTTTTAAAGTAAAATATGTTTTTGAATAATGTATTTTTTAAATATATAATTTCTAAAAATAATATATATTTTAATGATATATTATATTATTTTAAAAATATTTATATACTTTTAAAATATATTATTTATTAAAAATATAATTATTTTTAAATATATTATTTTTTTTAAATATTTATTTTAAAATATATTATTTTTTAAAAATAATTATTTTTAAAAATTATTAATTTTTAAAAATATATTATTTTTTTTAAAAATCATTATTTTTTAAAAATATTTTATGAGTTGCATATGTTAAGTAATAAGCATAATCAAACAGTTGCAACTATAAGTTATAAAATTTAAATTTTAAACCAAACAATTGCAACTGTAGTTGCATGTAAGAAGAGTTGCAACGTCTCAGTTGCATGCAAGTGACACTTGCATTGCAACTCTAGTTACAAACAACCAAACGCCACCTTAGAAGGATAGAGAAGGAGAATGAGGAGAAAAAATCTTACCCCCTAAATTAGGGGTAAAGAAGGAGAAGAGAAGGAAGACAAAAATCTCCCTTCCCTTCCCTTCCCTTAGTCATCTCCCAAACACACCATCCAAGTCATAACAGAGCAGGTGAACCTAACCACTCTAATCAGTTCATTTCCACTAATGAATGTGTGTGTACATATATAATGGGAATAGGCCTTGGCAACCCATTTTCTCAAATGTGTTGTCATGATGACCACGATAGGCACCAATTCATGTTGATGCTACATCTAGGTTGAATGTATATTGATAATAAAAATATTTTGCATTGAAGACTTCTGAAGCTGATCCATGCCAAGTTAAAATCATACTTATGAACTATGCCTGCTAAACAACCTGTTCTTTGACTCCAATGACTTGCATAATTTGAGCAGCAAGCGTACGATATACATTCAAGAAGTTGTATCACAAGTATTTTGAACTAAGCCATGTGATTATATAATTAAGTTTACGGTCTGCAAATGGAAGGTATGTATTTCAAAAAGTGCCCCAGGATGTCGGAATAAGACACGGACATGGACATGGATACAGGAGCTTATTTATGAATGTGTCGGGTAACTAAATATAAAACTAACAAACGGTAAGCTTTTGTATATAGTAATGCAGATAATAGAGAAATGATGACCAATTATTTGGTAAAATTGGGCTTGCATTGCCTTTGGTAACCATAAATATCTTCATAAACTAAATCTTTCTGATTTAAAATAAAGTGGATGAGTAAACGAAATACTAACAAAGAAATCAAAATTAAAGGAAAAACATATTTAAATGACTATCACTCTTAACCAATACAAATATGCTTGCCAAAGAGGACTTACAGCTTCGAGAACCACCACCGAAGAAACAACAGATCAGCATGCTGTACGGAGCCTATGAATGCGCATACAACCTTTGTATATTGAGTACCACTTGTCAGTTCAGTAGTGCGCAAGTATAAATTGCAATAATTCATGAAGCCAAGGAAAAGACTTCCAAAATATCTAGAATATTAGTCGGAATTACACAAACAGCGTCGTAGTTGTTGACCTAAATGTGCCTTCAAGTTGTTGGTTTCTCTGCTCGGCTAAGTCACCAAATTCAGGAGCAACACTTCAAGAACCAACCCGAATAACATATAAGCTACAATATAGCAACTCCTCTTCGGCAGTCAACAACTTTCATTCTCCAGTGAACCTGAAGAGTCAACAAGATATAAGAATATCTGGCTACAACAGCTTATTTTCAAGCGTTAACTTGTCACTATAAGTACTCTGACTTCACAACGAAAAGGTCACTGAGATAGTAAGAACATAGAATGACTCACCAGGGATGACAACAGAAAGGCTTTACCATCCCAG